TGTGGATTTTCAGACAATTCCGTTGAAAAATGTGGGTAAAATCATCAAAATACCGAATATGGGGGGGGGGGGGTACCGTTATATGGGGGCTATACGATATCGTGGACCGATATAGCCCATCTTCGAACTTGACCTGCAGACAAAAGAGAGATCTGTGCAAAATTTTAGCTTCCTATCTTAATTCGTTTAGACTGTAGCGTGATTGTTGGGTCTAAAATGATTATTTCGATGAGTTACAAACGGAATGACGAACTTAATATACCCTCCATACCTTTTTTGGTGGAGGGTATAAAAACAGAGTCCTATATGGTCAGTAGATTGCTAGCATCTATTTAATTATTCAAAGTCAAGCCATTTGGCAAACATTTAGCTGCTACCTAGGTTTCTTGCGTTCACCAAAGATTGCGACTTCAATGTAAACGTGAGATGCTCTTAATTAAAAAAAAAAAAAAAATATATATATATATATATATATATATGATCCAGGCGATATACATCCATGAGTACATATTTCTCCCGTTCCCTACAAAGTTTTATGCAATTTTTATTTGTTCATAAACGTCGTTTGAGGAAGGCTGAATTTCATGCAAAATTCAATGTCTATATAATTCAAACTGTGACATGGACACTGGACCGTTTGGGAGCGTAAAATTTCATTCCCAAATAAGACAAGTAAAAAAGCTGTAAGTTGATGATATTTTGATGATATTTTGAATTATTTTATCTTCTTAATTTTCATAAATTATGAAAATCCTATTCTGAATCACTGTAATATTTTTAATGTTCTTTTTGTTGTAGAGGCAATATCTAAAGCCTTTCTTAAGTTTAAATATCATCCAAATCGGTGCGTTTATTCCATAGGATATCAAGGTCAAAGTTCAATTTTGATTTTTATAGCCTACACTAGACAGAGATGCAGGATATTATATTTCTGTGCAATTGTTTGTAACATGCTCCTTTCCGTAGTTCCTTTCTCCATATAAACACAGTCTGAGTTGATTTATGAATGTACGTCCGAACAAATTATTTCCCGATTGAGATAAAATTTTCCATAAATAATTTGATGTTTGAGTATCCCGGACCCCCGAGTATATCTTCCCCTGATTACAAATGTATTCTGCACCAAATGTGTAACTTTAGACAAATAAGAATGGAATTTGGTGCATTCGATCGAATTTAGCCATTACGAGTTTTTGATGAAAACCGTAACTGTATCTTTCACATATGTGTTTCATCTGATATTTAAGTCCATAAAATCCTTAATATGCTCTCCTCTACAATGATATTTGGTATCAGACACAGCTTAGAAATACATCTGCCAAACTTTTTTGAAATCGATTTGAAACTGCAACCAACTTCAGACTGCTGTCATTTCTAAACCACTCGTCCGACAGCTGTTAAAATTATTCCAGTGACAGCTCATTATATTGTTTACAAGCGTACAAAAACATTTTGGTGAGAATTTTCCAGAAAAAAACTTATTCGTGATGGAATTCAAGCGTGATAGTGTGATTTCTTAATGATTTGCTGGAAAACCACAAGTGGCTATCGTTAGAGCACTCCAGCATTTAAAGGTGAACAAATCCTTTGTGTCTCGTTCCATCGCTTGTTACCGTGATTCTGGTAGCATAGCCCGACGTCAATGAAGTGGTCGGAGAAAAACAGCAACATCAGCAGATATGGTTTAAAAGTAAAGAAGCGACTTGATCGAAACCCGTGCCGCAGTGGCCGAAAAATGGCTCATGAACTGAACATATGACAATATTTCATTTGGCAAATATTGAAAAATGAGCTCAGGGTAAAACCATTGAAATTCCAAAGAGTGCAAGAACTTACACCGGAACAGAATCGCTTGGCCGAAAGTGGTGAACTGCCGAATTTGGTTTTCTCCGATGAGAAAACATTCATTGTCCAGCAGATTGTAAACAACCAAAATTATCGTGTTTACTTGCCAAAGAGGTCAACTGAAAATGCACACCTTCGGTTGCCACCACCGCCATAACAGCCGATGGTCGCTCTCCGTTTGTATTAATCAACCGTGACATCAGAATAAATGCCGGATATTATCATAAACATATTTTGGATGGTGTATAAAAGGCTTGGGCACGCAAACATTTTTGCCGCAGGCCTTGGACATTCCAACAGGACTCAGCACCATCGCACTCAGCACGCGCCACCTATGAATGGTTACAAAATGAGGTTCCTCGCTTTATTTCTAGCGCACAATTGCCACCAATCTGGAGTATTCTAGAAAGCAAGGTTGGCACTAAAAAATACCTCAAGCAAGCGCTTCGCCAGGAATGGTCCAAAATATCGCGTAGCAAAATTCTGCCAGCGTGTGACGGTTTCATTGACCGGCCATAATTCGTGCCAACGGTGACCACTTCGAACAAATCTAAACTTATTATAAAATTTGATGCTACTTCCGACACTTTTTGCTTTCATTCAATAAAATTAAAAAAAAAAAGAAAAACTATGGCGACTTTGTTGCAGTTTCTTTTTATGGATTCATTCTATTTCAAATGTGTAATATCAGTCCCAAAATACATGGATTTTGGCACATACTACTGAATTTAGCTTATAAGCAAATATGTCGATTTTGGAGAAAATCGGTTAGCTATAATTCTAATATTTTGTTATTACAAAATGGTCAGGCTTAATCCCATTATTGTTGTTTTTATAAAATCAACGTTTGTTTATTAGTGAAGAACGATGGTAATTTTTACCAGAGGGTAAGGCCGGGAATACCTAGTTTTCGGAAAGAGAAACCAATCTTCATTAGTTTTCTTGTTTTTTGTCTGGGATATTTTCCCAAGGAGTTATTTTAAAAATAACTCCTATGAAAAAAAAACCTTTTTTTTCATCCAAGTGACGAGATTGTAAGCCCAATAGAAGAGGCACCAAAGAATTATATAAAACTAAAATTCTTTTAGAAAATCTTCTAAATTTTAAAATCGAACTTATCAACATTTCCATCTCTCCCCACTTGTTATGTTTTCGTTTTACATGAACGATATGGTAAAGCCATTGCACAATGGACCCGCATCCAATTTTTGTCCAAAACTATTTCAACGCCTCCATATGTAAGCCCTATAAATCAACAGTGATCTGAATATTAAATTTCAGAATTTCAGGTCTATCTCTTCACCCAATACCAAATTTGGAACGCTTTATTACTTTTCTCAATTCCAGATACTAACAGTTACCTAAATATCAAATTTCAGAAATGTATCTCTATTTCTGCATCCATTACCAAATATAGTACAATTATAGTACACAATTCCGAAATCTCCTCTATATGTTAAGGATACAATTTGAATCTGCAAGCATATCTGTTCACCCAATACCAAATTCACTAAATAGAGAACTGTTTACTACTTTTTGTGCACTTTCATAACCACCTCTTTATGACAAACTTCCACCAACAGGGACCTCAATACAAAATTTCAGCTTCATCCGTTAACCCTAGACCAAATTGTTCCGAATTTAGTACCATTTAGTACAGTTCGCACACTGAGTACACATTTGCAAAACTATAATTAGTAGGAGGTACCGTGTCGGTGCCCGGACATAATCCCGGACATGGTCATAAACCCCATAGTAATCATGACATGGGATCATGTCCGCCACGGGGAGTATGAGCGTTTGCTGTGTGGACTACTTACAAAAATAATTAATTTTAGAAATTTTTGATTCGCGGTAGCCGTTGCGGGAAATACTCAGAAGTGAAAATCTCAAGACCCGCCTACAAAAACTGTGTACCCAAGTTTACTACATTTTATAAGTTTTATAAGTAGTCCCCACAGCAAATTGTAATAGGGATTATGTCCAGGCGGCGGTTTTGAATTTTTCATTTTAAATAAAAGTGTAAATGGGGGTGTGGGCGGAAATATCAACTTAATCCGCCAAAGATTAGGTGATGTCACAAAACCTCGAAATATTGGTTCCAGGCCCACGATTTTACATATGTTTTACCTATCTCGCCGAGCTCGCTCGATTAAGTTATGTGTGTCCGTCTGTCTACTTTTGTAAGCACGCTACAGGTCACAATTATGACGCTAACCTTACGAAATTTTCCGTTGAATCAGGATTAGGTCCAGAATAAAAACATTTAGAGCTTGAAATGGACCAACAAGAGCTTTTTCTGATTTTGTAGTCTCTTAGCTCATAATTATATACCAATTGGCGCCTAATTTTGCATGGGGTTAGAGTTTAGAACAGCGAAGAAGCGCATCTCTTGGGATCGACATGGAAAATATCGCGTATGAAATGGAAAATATCTTTTGTGTGAAATATCCATTTTTAAACACAATATTTTACTTTGTTTAAATTTTGTGAATGAACGATTTATATTTTTTGATTGTCTACTTTGGCATTTCATTTTTTTTATGGTGTTGGAGTTCGTTGAACCAAAATTTGCCTATAGGTCAGATATGTTCTAATCAATTATTTGTGATTTAGAAGCAAAGTTATTCGCGTTTGAAATTTGATGTTTATTTAAGGACATTTAGTTAAATATTGTCCGATGACCAACCAAAATTGTGGACTTGTACTTTGATTGCAAAATCAGGAAATAGTCCTCTTTGGTGTTCATTTTATATCCTAAATGTTTCACAAACATCTATAGACCTTATAGGCTTCTATGCTGACCCGAGGAGCTTTGACAGCAATTTTTACATGCTGTCGACCATAATTGTGACCTTTAGGGTGATTTCACATAATTTAATTAATTTTAAATACGATTTTAGTTTTGAAATCTCAAAGCCCAAAAATAAATACATAAATAATAAAATTCATCAGAATTACAGTGGAACCTAACTACTTTCTGTAAATTAATATTCACGACACTATACATTATAAGGTCGGATTGGTTTCCAATCAACCATGTTCGTTGTTGTGGGTTTCAACTGTAAAACATTTCGCCAAAACCGCAAATGATTAAAAATAGAAATAAATCTTTCAAATTACAAAAACATCGGAGAGAATTTGATTCAGTCTGCTATAAGTCGTCGTGGAATATACTACAAAAAAGAAAATTAAAAATTAAGAAAAAATTAATCTCAAAATAATATGTTTTGATTTTGTGATATTTTTAAACATTACCATGATTAATTGTGCTAAACTTCAAAATAAGCAGTGAAATTATTTGAATAAAACATAATTTCTTAGCAAAATATATATAGCAAGTGGGTGAATCGAATTGTAATACTAACAATATAAAATTATTAAAGAAAAGTAACTGATTGCTATCTGTTAGTAATAGTTTGTAAATAGTTAAAAAAGTTAAAGTCATGGAAAGTTTGAAGTCATGTGATCTTATCACTGAGCCGAGCTGCAAAAACATATGGGTGTGGATTTAGTTAATATTGTAGATTTAACATCGCTACGAATTTTCAGTTTATCTTTGTTTTTTAAGGATTATATTCTCATCTAATTCTTCTATTAAATACCATGGCTGACTCATGTGTATAGAAATCAATCATAAATAAATCTTACTTTGTTATACCCTCAGCCATATGGCTCATCCTTTGTGTGTGATGTACCAGAAGGGATTCGCAGATATATATCATCTTTACAACAAATCTTGTGTTAGCAAACATTTTTGTATGTTTGAAATTTGAAGGGAGTTGGGTGCTTATTTCGCTTTCTTTGGGCGTTTTGTTCTTCAAAATCTTGACCCCAAGTGAGATTTATCAAGTCTGAATGGATTCGGATGCTAATTTCGCGTGAGCTTCATGGATATTTAAAATGTTGACCCTTTGTGGGGGAAATTTCAGAAGGAGTGGAACGATATATTCTATCTTCACGTCACACCTTTTGTTAATACAAATATTGTGATATGTGTAGTTTGAAGTCAATCGGACTCTTCTTTCACATTTTATAAGTTTATAAATGTGTTATAAAGTTTATACTTGACGGAGTGAACCAAAAATTAGGATTTGTTTTTTCAATTTCGGCCTTTTCTTGTGGAGTTAAATTTGACAACAATATTACAATGTACCAAGTTTGGACCAAATTGGATATTCCTTTCGAGAGTTATCGTAAACAAGCCAGCCAGACTGACAAATGGGCGGTTGGATGGACATCGCTAGATCGACTCCAAATATCCTTAAACGGATTTGGCCTAAAGAGACCTAGGGTCAAAAACCATTATTTCGATGAGGCGCCTTTTAGCCGTATCAAATCTAAAGCCATATGGCTGAGGGTATAAAAGTCAAATGTCGTTCGTTTAGTAATTGAATGAGAACGGCTGGACAGATTTGAATAATTTGTCAAGTGTTCATTATAACCCATCTTAGGCTCTATGGAAAAGCACTTGACCACTCCCTCTTTTACGCCAACTTTTTTATACCCTCCACCATACAGGTTGAGATGAAAAAACTGCAACCAACTTCAGACTGCTGTCATTCCTAAGCCCCTCGACCGACAGCTGAAAAAGTTATTCCAGTGGCAGCTCATTTTATTGCGAGAATTTTCCAGAAAAAAAGTTATTTGTGATGGAATTTAAGCGTGATAGTGTGATTTCTTTATATTTGGCTGGAAAACCACAAGTGGCTATCGTTAGAGCATTCCAGCAATTAAATTGGAATAAATCTTTTGTGTCTCGTACCATCGCTCGTTACCGTTATCGATACTGGTAGCGTAGCCCGAAGTCAAGGAAGTGGTCGGAAGGAAACAGAAACATCAGGAGAAATGGTTCGAAAAGTAATGAAGCGAATTGATCGATACCCGCGTCGCAGTGGCCGGAAAATGGCTCGTTAGCTGAATATATCGCAATATTCCATTCGGCAAATATTGAAAAATGAGCTCGGGGTAAAGCCATTGTAATTCCAAAAAGTGCAAGAACTAACACCGCAACAGAAAGAAAATAGACTGAAAAGAATATATTGTGGAGAGTGTATCAAAGCCTTGGGCACGCAAACATTTTGGCCGCAGACCTTGGACATTCCAACAGGACTCAGCACCATCGCACTCAGTACGCGGCACCCAAGAATGGTTACAAAATGAGATTCAATGGCTATCAAAATCTTCGGATACCAATCTGTTGGACTATTGTGTCTGTAGTATTTTGGAAAGCAAGGTAGGCACTAAAAAATATCAAAGTGTCGATCACCTCAAGCAAGGGCTTCGACGCGAAAGGGCCAAAATACAGCAGAGCAACATTCGGCCAGCGTGTGACGGTTTCATTGGCCGTTTGAATGTCATAATTCGTGCCAAAGGTGACCAAATTGAACAAATCTAAACTTATTCTAAAATGTGATGCTATTTCCGAAATTTTTTGCTTTCATTCAATAAAATTTAAGAAAAAAATGTAAAAATTATGGCGTTTGACTTTGTTGCAGTTTTTTTATCTCACCCTGTATGTTTCATCCTATTGTTTGATTGATCCGGCCCTAACGTTCGCTATATGCAAACCAAATCAATGATATTTGGTACCAGACATACCTCTGCCAAATTTTACCAAATCGGTTCAAATTTAGATATAGGTTTCATTCATATCTTCATCCGATTTCACGGTTAATGTGCTCCAAATCAACCCCAATTGGATGGATTACTACACGTAGAGCCATAATATCCATTCAAAAAAAGATTTATATGATCATAAGTTCCCAATATAAAAGTTTATTTGTTACAGGTAGCTCTACTAAATATGCACAGTGGTGTTGGGTATCATAAACTCGGCCCGCCGAATTTTGATCTGGTTGTTATTATATTTAATTAATTAAATATTTTCCTATTTTTTCAGATATTAACACCATAATGGATCTCTCATGTTCCAGATTATCATGTGTGAACACAAAACAAATTTCAACAATGTATGTATGTTATACATTTTATTACAATTCGCAAACTTATGCATATCTAAACTTATGCATTTCAGAAAAGTTTTAGCATTTGGCAACCTGCTTCTCAACTATAATGCAAGCATAGACGATCCAAATATTTTGAGGCGCCATAGACAGAGTTGGAACAAATTTGATGCGGATGTGAATTTTGATAAATTTTCAGAAATCACATCCGACATAAATATTAATGAGTGAGTTATAATATGGAAATTTACAATAGGTCTGTTCCAGAATTGCAAGAACGTAAAACTTTTTACCACAATAACCGATTTATAATACCGAATAAAATTGCAAAACTAGTAGATTCTTGCATGTTCTGGAATGAACTTAATATGTCAGTGTATAACACAATGAAACAAAGTTTCAAATTTAAAAGTTGCGGAAGTAAATAATTGTAAATAAGTGAAAGGGCGTGCCGAACTTTGAATACCCTCCAGCATTTGGAACGAATTTGGTAATTTTCAAAAAATCTATTAAAAATTCTGTTCAAATCTTAAAAATACGCAATGTAGCCGTTATATTAGGGTCTATACGACGACATGGACTTGCAAAAATCGGTGAATAATGCAGCTAAAATCATCAAAATACCGAATATAGGGAGGTACCATCACATGGGGGCTATACCAAAACTTGGACCTGTACAGACAATTTTCTGTCATAGGCTGTAGTATACATTACGAACTTCAAATTTGAAACAATTCCGGTGAATAATGTCGCTATAATCACTAAAATACCGAATATCGGGAGGTGCCGTTATATGGGGGCTATACGAAGGAGTGGTCCTGCACGGACAATTTTCTAACGTTAAATACTAAATTTAAAACATTTTCGGTGAATAATGTCGCTTAAATCACCGATAATAGGGAGGTACCATTATATGGGGTCTATACCTAAACGTGGACCTACACCCATTTTCATTACCAAAAGTCCTGCAGACATAATATACATTTGAGTCAATTTTTATCAACCTACTTAATTTCGTTCGGAAGCTAGAGTGATTTCAACAGATGGACGGATGCTGATCAAGAATATATATACTTTGTGGGGTCTAAAATGTATATTTCGAGGTGTTATTAATGGAACGACAAACTTGATATACCCTCCATACTATGGTGGAGCAATAACCGTAAAAACGGATGAAGAAATATATCGAAGCTATATAAAAATCTGAACTGATCCCGATACAATTTGCTATACGTTTTCTGAGCAGTATCTGATGCCCGGTATAAAATATCATTCTTATAGACCCTAAATCGGATGAAACATATATATGAGAGCTATAGCTATATCTGGACTGTTTTTTTTTCAAATTTGATGTATTTGCTTCTAGCCTGAATTCGATCGGATGGAAATGCGGGTCATTTGGACTAATACTGGTCATTTGGTGACATTGGCCGAAATGGGTTGAAAATATATATGGGAGCTATATTTAAATTTGAAGCGATTCTCACAAATTTAAATACGGGTCGTCCTTGGTCGTCGGATAAAAGATGTGACCTGCATTTTGTTCACAAAAATACATGGACTGACGGATTGATATACATAAAGCGACTCATAAAATAATTCTATGACGATCCTCAAAAGTAACTATAGGACTACCTCGCTTCCTTCTCCATGTTACAAACAAATGCACAAAGACATAATGCCCTTTCTACTATATGGTGTAGGGTACAACAAGTACACACAAAACGCAAACTTCTGGCTTTTTATGCTGTTTTCGTTGTCGAATATCATAGATATCAGTCTAAATTTGACAATACAGTGGAACCTCTCGCTTTTGGAGATGATCGCAAAATATTTAGGGGTTCAAATGAACAAAATGCAGAAAAATTTTCCTGATCACACAATTGAAACCAATCTACACGGAATTTTGCCTGAGAAGAGGGTTAAGGACATGGAAGAAGTCCAGCATTTCGGATGACCATTGGATTATATTTAGGTGTAAAATGGACCACAACAACTAACAACAGACGGAGTGCGTAAATATTAAGCAAATGCCCCTGGACAAATAGATAATGATAATATCTGGGCAATGCTCTATGACATAATTTTAAAAGCGGAGTCTTCCAAAATGGTTTTGGTCATAAGGGTGCTTTTAACATATAGTTGTGTTGTAGAGTATGATATGGTCGGCCCCGCACGACTGTAGCATTTGCTTACTTGTTTTTAGACACATTCATGGAAAAATGAGACAAAATACCGAATATCGGGTGGTACCGTTATATGGGCCTATAGAAAAACGTGCAGCTATACATACAATGTTTCGCCAACGGAGCTAAATTCCATTAGTACCCACAAATACCACTTTTTAGATAAATCCGCGCAAAATGTGGAAAAAATTATCAAAATACGGAATATCGGTAGGTACCGTTATATGGGGACTATACCAAACCATGGACCGATATATGTCATTTCCACTACCAACCATCCTAGACACAATTCAAATTGTTCTGTTTAATTTTGACGCTCTCCGTCAAATAGTGTGGGCTGTATCGTTATTTCAACTGATAGAGAGACAGTCAGACAGACGGACATCGGTATACGACTTAGAACTTTATGCTGATAATGAATATACAGGGTGAGATAAAAAACTGTAACAAAGTCAAACCCATAATTTTGATTTTTTTTTAATTTTATTGGATGAAAGCAAAAAATTTCGGAAATAGCATCAAATTTTAGAATAAGTTTAGATTTGTTGGAATTGGTCACATTTGGCACGAATTGTGGGCTTCAAACGGCCAATGAAACCGTCACACGCTGCCCAAATATTGCTCAGCGGAATTTTGTCCCATTCCCGGCGAAGCGCTTGCTTGAGGTCATCGACACTTTGGTGTTTTTTAGTGCCAACCTTGCTTTCCAAAATACTCCAGACACAATAGTCCAACGGATTTGTATCCGGAGATATTGGTGACTGGAAATGAATCGAGGAACCTCATTTTGTAACAATTCTTGGGTGGCGCGTTCTGAGCCCTGTTGGAATGTCCAAGGTCTGCGGCCAAAATGTTTGCGTGCCCAAGGCTTTAATACACCCTCCAGAATATTTTCGCGATAACATTCGACATTTATTCTGATGCCACGGTCGATTGACACGAGCGGAGAGCGACCATGGGCTGTTATGGCGGCCCACACCATCACCATGGCTGGCGCTTGAGTTCTGGTGGCCAACCGAAGGTGCACATTTTCAGCTGACCTCTTTGGCAAGTAAACACGATCATTTAGTTTGTTTAAAAACTGCTGGACAACGAATGTTTTCTCATCGGAAAAAATCAAATTCGGCAGTTCACCACTTTCGGCGAAGTGAAGCAACTCTTTAGCTCTTTTGAGTCTATTTTCTTTCTGTTGGAATTTCAATGGCTTTACCCCGAGCTTATTTTTAAATATTTGCCTAATGGAATATTGCGATATGTTCAGCTCACGAGCCATTTTCGGCCACTGCGACGCGGGTTTCGATCAAATCGTTTCTTTACTTTTCGAACCATTTCTGCTGTTGTTGCTGTTTTCTTCCTTCCACTTCCTTGGCGCCGGGCTACGCTACCAGTATCAGAGTAAATGCTGGAGTGCTCCAACGATATCCACTTGTGGTTTTCCTGCCAAATATAAAGAAATTACACTATCATGCTTGAATTCTATCAGGAATAACTTTTTTTCTGGAAAATTCTCACCAAAATACGTTTGTACGCTTGTAAACAATATAATGAGCTCTCACTGGAATAATTGTCGGACGAGTGGCTTAGAAATGACAGAAGTCTGATTTTGGTTGCAGTTTTTTGTATTTCATATACCATTATCCCTCATTTCGATAGGAACGTACACGGCAAATTCTTTTAAAAACTCATTCATTTAAACAATCTTAAAAGTCAATTTGCATTAAATATCGATAGAAAAATGTCAAAATGTTATCACCCACATTGGTGTTATTTTCAATATTTGATCTTGTTATTTCATTATTTAGGAGTCTGAAAGTTGAACTCTCCGGATCTGCACTACGAACTGTGCGTGCCTTAAGACAACTGGGAACAGAGGCAATATTTTTTAGTGCATGCGGTGATGATCAGGCGTCAAAAATAATCAGTCGGCTACTCAAAATGGAAGATATGGACAGAAGGTAAGCCATTGAATTCAAGCATTACTCAGTCACTGCATTAATTCATCCCTCATTACAGTTTTCTACGAGTCCAAACTGTGGAGAATGTTCCAACTGGACGCAGAGTATCCTTATCATACAATGACTCCAGAGCCTTGTATACGAACTGTGGTGCTTCAGCTCAGTTTTCCGTTAATTTCCTTGAATTTGCAATTAACGATAAAAACTCGTCCATCTTGAGGCCAGAAAATCGTGTTCAAATCTTCTACATTGAAGGGTATTTTATTCCCAAAAGAGAAGCGGTGACCACTTTCATTGTTCGTAGCTATATTCAGGGTCGTCGATATATCGCCCTTAATCTCAGTGCCGAACACATAGTAAGGCAGAATTTTAATCATTTGCTGTACATAGTGAGTAATGCTCTCTTTGTATTTGGAAATTCGGCAGAGTTTCACGAATTCTGCGAATGTTGGGGTGCCTCAAGTACTAGAGAATTGGCCGAGGGCATTGTAAAGAATAAACAATCGCCTATAATTTTTGTTATAAACAAAGGGGCCGATGGCATTGATTTGATTAGTAACTATTTTCGTGAAGGTTGTGCCCCTGGACCACTGACCTTTCAAACATTCAATGTACCACCGTCAGCTGGCGAAGACGATCCTTCGGCCGAAGTGTCAGATGCCTGTTTTGTGGCCGGCTTTTTGCATGCGTGGTTGCAGAAAAAGGAATTAAGTCAATGCGTACGTGTGGGTTGCCACTATGCTGCCAAGGGAGTACAGCCGGGCAGCGGATCAGAATCAAAACCTACAACACCGACATAATATTGAGAGCGTTAAAATTGTATCTAAATTAAAATAAATATTCTTTAATATCTATATAGAATGTGTTCTTCACACACTGACACACACTTTAATAAATTATTTGCAATAAAACCTTATTGCATTTCCCATTACTGATCCTTTACTTCGAGATGAATGGTGTTCTAAAAATATGACTTACCCAATTTTGTGAGTAAAGATCACAAAATGTCAGAACGTGATGGTGGGAAGTTACGATGTTTGTTGGAATAAAATCAGGTATTTATACCCTACACCACAACGTGGTCAGGGTATTATGTCTTTGTGCATTTGTTTGTAACAGGTAGAAGGAAACGAGATAGACCCATAGTTCCTTTTGATGATCTGCATAGAATCACATTCTGAGTCGATTTATGCATGTCCGTCCGTCTGTCCGTCTGTCCATGTATTTTTGTAAACAAAGTACAGGTCGCATTTATTGCCGATCCAGATGAAATTTTGCAAAGATCTTTTGTTTGGCCCAAGGACGAACCCTATTGAAATAGGAGATAATCGGTCAAAATTTAGATATAGCTCCCATACATATCTTAATTGCCTAATTGCTAATAATTGGTACAAATTTAGATACACATACACAGGGTGAGATGTAACAAAGCATCACCAGGGAGAAGATTGATGAGAAATGATTGAAAAAAGGAAAATACCCTTGCAAAATAAAGAGCGGAGGATATTGCTTTTATATGGTTAATATGAGGAATTGATGCGATCAAATTAATTATACTAGACCAACAAAATAAGAGGTTTAATGGCTAATTAATTGATAATTCAATTTTCCACGTTTTACCCTAGGTATGTTAAGGTATTTTGAGAAAATATTATTGATTACTCTTGATCCTGAAACTAAGTGAAATTTAATTAACGTTGGCAAATTGTTTTAACCTCCATAAACCTTTTTGTTGACACAGTCCATGTATTTCTGTAAACAAATTACAGTTTATAAGTTTTTGTTAAGTTCAATTAATATTCGTAAAATTTCGAATTATTTTGTTATATCCTCTACTTTGGAAATTTGTCATTATTTAAATTTAATTTAATTTGTCATATTTTAAATTTGTCATTCCAAATATAACATCTTAATATTCGTCGTAGAACCCATAAAGTATACTTATTTATTATCTGCATAAAATTGAAAGTCGTAAGTGTTTCGAGCTACATTCATTGACGCAGAGCTGTGAAATTTTGCACAATAGTTTGTATTGTCTAGGACGGTTGGTATTGAAAATGAGATATTTCGGTTCATGTTTTCGTTAGGCCCCATATAACGGTACCCTCCGATATTCGGTATTTTGATGATTTGAGTCACATTTTTCCACGGAATTTCTCCAAATTTGGTACTGAAAGATGTGATTTAACAGATTTTTTAACGCGATCTTTACAGTTTGTAGTGGGGGTTACCTCCTATGGCGTATCATCCTCATTTATATCTATAAAAGAGGAAAATGATTGTACATTTGTTTGTTTGTAATTTATGGACTCGAAAACCGCTGCACAGATTTTCCTGAAAATTTCCAAGTATACTACAACATCGCCTGAAAGTAACATAGGCTATATATATTTTTGAAATTCCACTCGGAACTGGAGATATTGCATCAGAATCGGAGGTACCTCCCAAAAATTTGGATTTTGTATGCACATATCTATTGATCGATTACAGATTTGATTAGAAAATATATTAGTCATTTTATATGGAAATCGGTTCAGATTTGGATATAGCTTTCATATATATTTTCGTCTGATTTCATGTGTTTGATGCATTAAATACGCTGTGTATGTTCAATTTCAATGAAATTTGAAATGTGTGACGGGATTTGATCAGAAAATAAATTTGTCAAATTATATTGAAATCGGTCCAGATTTGGACATAGCTCCCATATATATTTTCGTCCGATTTCACATATTTGATGCACCAAACACAATACGTATGTTCGGTTCCAATAAAATTCGGCATGAGTGACTAAATTTTGGTACAAAAATAAATTTGCCGAGTTATATTGAAATCGGCTGAGATTTACTACATCTCCCATATATATTTTTCGACCGATCTCATGAATGTTATGTACCAAACACCATATGTATGTCCTATTCCAATGAAATTCAGAATGTGTGGCGGAATTTGGATACAATAATAAATTTGACAAATTAATTAGAAATCGGCTAAAATTTTGATATAGCTCCCATATATATTCTCGGCCGATTTCACATATTTTATGCACCAAACACGGTATGTACCTCCAATTTCAATGAAATATGGAAGGTGTGACGGAATTTGGTGTAAATGTAAATTTTGTCAATTTATATTGAAATCGTTTCAAATTGGAATATGATTTTATTAAGAAGCATTGACCCACAACGCCTTTGCAATGGTGTAAGTCTAACAGTAAAGAAGTAAAAAAAACAATAAGTTCGGCCGGGCCGAACTTTGAATGCCCTCTACCATTTGGAACGAACTTGGCAATTTTCAACAAAATAAAATCCGTTAAAAATTGTTTTAAAATCTTAAAAATACCGAATGTATACGAAGGCGTGGACCTGCACAGACAATCTTTTGTCATAGTCGTAGTATGCATTACGAACTTCAAATACCAAATTTGAACCAATACCGGCGAATAATGTCTCTAAAATCATCAAAGGACCGAATATCGGGAGGTACTGTTATATGGGGCTATACTAAAACGTGAACCTACATTTTTCAATACTAAAAGTCCTGCAGACATAATATATATTTGAGTAAAATTTTATCATCCTACTTTATTTCGTTCGGAAGCTTGAGTGATTTCCACAGACTGATAGACGGACGGACATCGCTAAATCGACATAGAATTTTATGCTGATCAAGAATACATGTACTTTGTGGGGTCTAAAATGTATATTTCGAGGTGTTACAAATGGGAAAACAAACTTAATATACCCTCCATACTATGGTAGAGTGTATAAAATCTACATAAAAATTTAATTGAGGGTATGATTATTACTGGGAAGTATGTCGCTACGTCGACTTCTCTATTTACAACAGAAATGCCTTTCAAATTCAAAAGATTGCAGTTTCCGGCACGCTTGGCATTTGCTATGAAATAAATAAATCCGAAGGACAATTTCTTCATGTTTGCGGACTAAATGTAGCATGTTCCTGCTTTTCACATGGTCAGCTGTTCCTGGCATGTTCACGCGTTGGAAGACCGAGCTATTTGTTTGTTTACGCATATAACAATATTAACGTTTTTAAAAATTTTGAATTTGTTTTATTTATATTTTTTAACCAACAAATATATTTGGTTAAAAATTTTTTGAATGCGATAAAAGCGAAAGGAGTAGCGAAGCGCGCCGGGTTCAGCTAGCTGTCTATATAGGTCCATGTTTTCTGGTAGCCTCAAAATAACGACACCTGCAGATATGCGGTACATTTGTTGAGCTTGTTTCAAATTCGGTTTGGTGGGAATTTCTAATTTAGGATGTTAGGAGCTCTAAGGCTTAAATGACTTGTTTGTAATTCGAATGTTTCCATTTGTTGACCGACCTTCATTTGCAGAAAAGTTTTTTTTCTGATTAGAAATATTTTTAAAATGAAATATTGGGATACATAATTAGACTGCTAATAAATCAGTGTCAATTTAGGTTTGGTTCTTAAGCGGTAACAAATAATGTCTGAATTCTTGTTGTCATTATTACATTACTTTACGCCTCTACTTTACTACTTTACGCCATTTTCAACGGTTCAACGGAAATGTTAGTAGATTTTGCACAAAAGTTATGGTCTATTTCAACCTCTAAGTATTATCCGATGACAATTTAAAATAGTAGGTTTCTACCCTGTCCTTAACTCCGAAGCAAAACTTCGTGGTGTTTGGTCTATAATTGTTACCTGTAAAGCGACTGCAAAATCAGGGCACATAACAAGATCGACTCAGCAGGGCGATATAGGTTGATATATAACTTCGTAGGTATAGGGCCAAGATTTCGATGTGGTATAAAATGTTCGCTTCAATCAAACAAGTAAGTATATGTTACAGCTGTTAAGTTTCTGTAGATTTGGCTAGAATGAATTTTTATACCTTCCAGCTTAGAAAGGAGGGTATATTAATTTTGTCATTCCGTTTGTAACATCCCTAAATATTCATCGTAGACCTCATTTTTGCCACATTTTTTACGGATTTGTCTAAAAATCGGTATTTGCAGGTTATAATGAATTCTAGACTGTGTGGCGAAACATTGTATGTATAGGTCCACGTTTTTGTGTAGCCCCATATAACGGTACCTCCCGATATTCGGTATTTTGATGATTTTTTCACCGATTTGTCAAAAATTTGAATTTGTTGCCAAAATCCATGTCGATTTGGCTATAATTGTGACCCAGAGAGGAAATAGAAAAATTATGTTTTTGTTCCATTCCATACCCTCCAATAGTCTCCAGAAATAAAAGCCTTCTATTATAACCCTAGCGCAGACCCTATCTGAAATTTCGGGAGGATCGAACAATAATTTCGACCTGTGAAGTGATTATATTTTAACATGGACAGACGAGTATATATTTCAAGATCCAGAAAGTTCGACAAAATATGATGATCGGTATACTACATAGAAGATATATACTATATACGAGGAGTTATAAACTTTTTTCCAAACCAATATACTCACAAATTCATGGGGGTATAATAAGTAAATAAATTTGGTACGAATTCAACAATTTTCAAAAAAAAAAAAATAAATAAAAGGATTTTAAAATTCTGTTAAAATCGTGTAGCCGTATATTAGAGTCTATATGGCGACATGGACCTGCATAGGCAACTTTTGTCACAAGGTAACTTATATCACAATATTCAAATACGAAACTTGAAAAAAATCTGTTTATAATGTAGCTAAAATCGTCGAATATAGGGAGGTACCATGGTGGTTATAAAACGTGGATCTGCACACAAAATTTTTTGTCATAGGCTGTTATATCGAACTTCACGAACTTCAAATGCGAAATTTGAAACAATTCCGATAAATAATGTCGCTAAAATCATCAAAATACCGAATATCGGGGTGTAACGTTATATGGGGCCTCAAAATAACGACACCTGCAGATATGCGGTACATTTGTTGAGCTTGTTTCAAA